CTAGCCAGTTTTTCCAGCACCATTTGCTAAATATGGTCTCCTTTCTCCAATATTTGTTTTTGATGGCTTTGTCCAAGATGAGTTCATTGAGGAACCATGGTTTTATTTATGAATTCTCTGTCCTATTCCATTGGTCTATGTGTCTGTTCCTGTACCAATACCATGCTGTCTCAGTTACTGTAGCTTTGTAATTAAGCTTAAAGTCTGGAAGTGTGATGCCTCCAGTTTTGTTCCTTTTGTTGAAGTCTGCTTTAGCTATTCATGCTCTTTTTTGCTTCCATATGAATTTCTGTACTGTGCTTTCTAGGTCTGTAAAAAACAATGCTGACAATTTGATAGGGACTGCATTGAATTCGTAGATTGCCTTGGGTAGGATGGACATCTTGACAAAAGATTCTTCTTTTGGGGGTGTAGCTATTATGAATGGACTTGTTTGTGTTTTTTATTTGGTTCTCAGCCTGCTTGTTGTTGGTGTACAAAAATGCAACTGTCTTTTGCATTCGATTTTCTATCCTGAAACTTTATCAGAGCCATTTACCAGTGTGAGGAGGTTTTGGACAGACTCTCCAGGGTTTTCCAGATTTAGAATCATACCATCCACAAAGAGGGATCGCTTAACTTCCTCTCTTCCCACTTGAATACCCCTGATTTCTCCTGTCTGACTGGTCTGCCTAGGACTTCCAATACTACGTTGAATAGAAGGGATGAGAGTGGACATCCTTGTCTGTTCTAGTTCTTATAAGGAATGCTTCCAGCTCCTGACCCTTAAATACAATATTGGCTGCAGTTTGTCATAGACAGGTCTTACTGTTTTGAGGAGTATTCCTTTGAGACCTAGGTGTTTGAGTGAAGGGATGCTGAATTTTATCAAATGCTTTTTCTCCATCTAATGAGATAATCATGTGGTTCTTGTTCACGTGATGAATTTTTTTTTTTTTTTTCTGAGTCAGAGTCTCACTCTGTCGCCCAGACTGGAGTGCAGTGGCCACTCCCGGCCACCGCAGCCTCAACCTGCTGGGCTCCGGCGATCCTTCTGCCTCAGCCTTCCAAGTAGCTGAAACTATAGGCGCGTGCTACCACACCTGGCTAATTTTTTGATTTATTGTAGAGATGAGGTCTCACCAAGTTGCCCAGACGGGTCTCGAACCTGCGGGCTCAGGCAATCCACGCACCTCAGCCTCCCAAGGTGCAAGATTACAGGCTGAGCCACCGAGCCCGGCTACACGTGATGAATTTTACTTATAGCCTTATAAATGTTGAGCCAATCCTGCATCCCAGAAATGAAGCCCACACGGTCATGATGGACGATCCTTGAAATGTGTTGTTGGATATGATTTGCTAGAATCTTATTGAGAATTTTTGCACCTATGTTCATCAGGGAAATTGGGCTGTATTTCTCTTTCCTTATTGGGTCTTTGACATTTAAAACAACCCCATTAAAAAGTGGGCAAAGGACATGAACAGACACATCTCAAAGGAAATATGCTTACAGAACTACTATTTACAATAGCAAAAACATGGAACCAACTGAGATGCCCATCAAAAGTGCTTACTTTGGCTGCACATATACTAAACTTGGAACGATACAGAGATTAGCATGGCCCCTGCATTAGGATGACACGCAAATTTGTGAAGCATTCCATATTTTTTACAAGAAGGGGATTGGCAGTAGCAGGATACTGCCAGGGAGCGGGTTAGGGGGAGCTACATAACATCAAAAAGGGGACCTGATCTCAAACCAGGCAAAGTAGGGACCAAAGAGAGGCCCAAACTTTGCCTGTACCATGTCCACTTGTATACCTAATCCTGAATTCTACATCTTAAAAAAGTGGACTGGATAAAGAAAATGTGGTACATATACTTCGCAGCTATAAAGAAGAACAAAATAGCTGGGTGCAGTGGCTCACACTTGTAATTCCAGCACTTCGGGAGGTGGAGGCAAGAGGATTGCCTGAGCCCAGAGGTTCAAGACCAGCCTGGGCAACACAGTGAAACCTTGTCCCTACAAAATAATTTTTAGAAAATTAGCCAGGCATAGTGTGGTGCAGGCCTGTTGTTCTAGCTTTCAAAAGGCTGAGGCAGGAAGATTGCCTGGGCCCAGGAGATTGAGGCTGCAGTAAGTAACGACTGTGCCACTGCACTCCAGCCTAGGTGAGAGAAATCTGACTGAAATAAAATAAATAAACAAATGGCAATTATCAACAACTCAAAAAATAAGAGCTGCTGGAGAGGGTGTGGTGAAAAGGGAACAC